AGGAATGGGCACCCCTGGGTCAGGGAGGTGGCAGGGTGGATAGGAAGGTGCCAGAGTTCTGAAGGCCACCCTCTGCCCTTCAGGATGTCAGGTGGTGGCCCCGTCGGACATGATGGACGGACGCGTGGAAGCCATCAAGGAGGCTCTGATGGCACATGGATTTGGCAACAGGGTAGGGGCAGGGGTGCAGGCAGCACGTGGGGAGGAAGTAAGAGCCTGGACCAGACCTGCCCCCGTGTCTGCACCTCACACAGAGAAAGCAAGGCCCAGAGCTCCAGTGGGACTAGGACACAGACCCCTACTTCCGACCTGGGTCCTTTCTCTCCCTGTCACTTCACCCTGGGACATCTGGAGGGCTGGCTGAGCTGAGACCCCTATTATCTGCCCATAGGTATCAGTGATGAGCTATAGTGCCAAATTCGCTTCCTGTTTCTATGGACCTTTCCGGTGAGTGGGGATGGGCAGGGGTCTGCTGTTGAATCCCTGACCTGTTAACCCAAAGCTGGAGCCCACCCTGGTGTCTCTGCTTCCCAGGGACGCAGCTCAGTCGAGCCCAGCTTTTGGAGATCGCCGCTGCTACCAGCTGCCGCCTGGAGCACGAGGCCTGGCCCTCCGCGCGGTGGTGAGTGACCAGAGCGCCAGCCCCACCCGGCCTGTCCCCCTGTCACCTCGCCTCCCAGGCACTGCCCACACCGTAACTCATCCCTTAGGACCGGGATGTACGGGAAGGAGCTGACATGCTCATGGTGAAGCCAGGTATGCCCTACCTGGACATCGTGCGGGAGGTAAAGAACAAGGTGAGCACAGGGCAGAGGCCAGAGGGGCTCGGGGAGATGAGAGTGTGTCCACAGATTCTGGGCCCTTTGATCGAGGGACTGCAGGATCTCGGAGTTGAGCAATCTTCCCAGGAACAGGAATCCCCAGCACCCCCCTCCCCCGCCCCCATCGCTGCCCCGCCTGGGAACCACTGTGGGCCTCTGCGCCAGGGCTCGAAGGAGCCTTTGAACAGCTCTGCTTTAACAGCTTGAGGATGGGCCAGGCCGGCAGCAGCAGTGACTCAGGGCTTGGGGCTCAAGACGGTCACACATTGAGCAGGGAGGAAGGGATACTCCCACAGGCATGCCCACCCCCACTTCAACCTGCCTGCCCCCCACTGCTTCTCTGCAGCACCCTGAGCTCCCTCTCGCCGTGTACCACGTTTCTGGAGAGTTTGCCATGCTGTGGCATGGAGCCCAGGCCGGAGCATTTGATCTCAAGGCTGCTGTACTGGAGGTCATGACTGCCTTCCGCAGAGCAGGTGAGCAAGCAGGGGTGGGAGTTTTTGACATGTGCCGCAGGGACTGATAGGCACTTTGACCAGATAGGGAAATAAAGTCATGAGACAGCCTGGAGTCTCATGCCTGGAAATGCCAGAGATCTAGACAGGCTGGGGAAGAGACATGAAACCACAGGACAGAATGTGGAACAGTGAAGCACACAGAGCCCTCTATTATTTTTTGGTTTTGAGACCTTGGCCAAGCCACTTCTCTAACTTCAGTGTCCTTGTCTGTGAACTAGGGATAAGATAGCTGGTGCGTGGTTGTCAAGAGGATTAAATGAGATGCTACATGTAATTGGCGTATGCTTGTCACTTCATAAATGGGAGCTGGTTTTGTTGGTAAAGCATACAGCCTGGGGAGGGAACTCACAGCTTACCTGTTTCCCCCACTGTGCAGTTTTATACATTGGCAAACTGAGGCCCAGAAGGAGAAAATGCCTTCCCCGAGGTCACACATGTACAGAGCTAGGACTCACCAGAACTGAACTCAGTCTTAGGTTGTGACACCCGTGGGCTGTGCCTCTTCATGGTAGCCTTCTTCCAGCCCCGGCCCTCATCTCCCAGAAGGTATTCCCTGAGCTGATGCCCTGCCCTTCCCCTGCTTCCCGCTTCTCTCCCAACACAGGTGCCGACATCATCATCACCTACTACACGCCTCAGCTACTGCAGTGGCTGAAGGAGTGATGGAGAAAGTGTGCAAGACCCAAGAACTAGAACTTTTTAATTCCTGAGTCTTGGAGAAGTGAAAACCAAAGTAAACGATGCTTTTAGAACTGTGTGCTCATGCCCTCTTCCTGCTTACGTGCTGGCAGGGGTCCAGAAGCCCTGGGTGGTTTCTGCCAGAGTGCCAGATCTTCCCACTCACAGCCACATCCTCATGGGCTCTCCTAGGCTTCCCTACCCCTCCCCTGGGTCAACCCTGAGGCTCCCCTCTGCCACCCCAGCTCCTTCCTCAGGGGTGGCTTCAGCTTGAAAGCCACCAGGAATCATGGGCATTGGCTCAGTGGGGCCTGGGAGAAAGGCTTGGAGCATTAAAGGAAAAGGAGGGCAGTTGAATCTTGGACCCTCAGAAGCTCTGGAAAGCTCGAGGCCTCCGGCAGCAGAGCTGGGCACACTGGGACTGAGGCTTAGATTGACACCCTGGGTTTAGAGTTGAGATTTGCTGCGATTCCACTGGAAGGCGATTCCCACACAGGCCAGTGCTTGCCAGGCTGCCTGAGATCTCCTGTTGTTCTCTGAGCCATAAACCCAGAGAAGAATTACTCATTAACGAGCAGAAAAGAATTATTCATTAACAAGCAGGAACGCTGCCTAAGGATCGAAATTCAGAAGCAAAGAGAGAGTTCCTGACGGTTGGAGATGCCACCACCAAAAAGGATGTTTACTGAAGAGGTGTTTTTTGAGAAGGTCTGCTTTGTGCCCACACACAATGCTGGGTCCTGGGGGTATAGCAGGACAGACCTCAGCTTGTCTCTGAGTGGAGTCTATACAAGGAGAACAGGGGTGACAGAAAACAACAAGAAAACAGACAAATAAGGCAGTTATACATTGTAATAGTGCTTCTAGGGAAATAAAGGGTCTGAGACAGAGAATAACAGATGATGGGCCTCACTTGAGAAGCCCTCCATGAGGTTGAGGGACAAGGAAAGACCCTTACAGAGGGCAGAGGGAAGCAGACACCAGAAGCTGCGAGAATTACGGAGTGCACAGGCTCCTGCAGTGGGAGGGGCTTGGCAGGGCCGCTGGGAGCCAGATGAGGAAGAGGAAGGTGGGCTGTAGGACTGGAGGTTGGAAAGGTAGATCCTGCACCTTGTAGGAAACTTGGGTTCTATTTTGCATCTGATAGAAAGCCATCTGAAGGATCTTAACCAGGACTTATATGTGTTCCAATTTCCCCCATTCTGCTCCTGTGAAAAAAATGGAGGGGTGAGGGGCTTCCCTGGTGGCGCAGTGGTTGAGAGTCCGCCTGCCGATGCAGGGGGCATGGGTTCGTGCCCC